AAAAAAAAAAAAAAAAAGCTGAAAAGACCTTGCAACATTCTCTAGATACATAAGCTTTGAAATAGGGCTGAGGTTGATTGTAGGATTCAACCATGGTAAATCATACGGGCTACCTATCTTATCAATTTTCTAGATTAACCACAAGTCCCATGGAAAAAAATAGGTGAGTTTGTGCAAGAAAGTTCTCCACATAACCTAATTAACTTCCCTAAATGACACTATCTTATTTTAGTAATGTAGAGGAATCTTATAACCAATCTAGCTATATCAGTTTTCTTAATCCATCGTTGGCCCAGATGGTCAAAGTGTCAAACCAGTGAACAATTGAGTTGGGTAGTTGATAAGGTCCCTCTTTTAATCTTTTTTAACAATCTTAGAAATTGCATTAGAGTAATTGTCCCATTGGTGTGTTGAAGTAGTTGGAGTCTCTTTTGAGTTCCAAATAAATTTGCCACCTACTAATGACCCAGTAGATGAGATTAGGGGTGTCAATGGACTGCTTTTGAGCCCAGCATTAACAGTTAACATGACTGACTAGTTGAGCATATGACATGATCTTTCCACCTCAATTGATTGCTCTTTGATTAGGAGCCAAGCCAAGGGGTGACATGACCTCTCACCACTGCAATTAGGCAGTGCCTACTCTATTGTCTAAAGCCATCCATCTAATCTAAAGTGTTGTATTACTCAAAAACAAAACCACAAAAGTTAAGTCTGCATAACCAGGAGTTATGCAGTGCCCAAGTCAATCTTTATTAGGCCAAGTTACATCAGCCTTTTCAGTTCGGAAAGATGAGGAAAGGGAGGAAATTGGATGTTTTTTGAAAACTACAGGGGAGGTTTTTATTAAAATCAAAAAGACGGGAAATTTATATGATTGTCAAAAAATTCAGGGGAGGTTTTTATATTTTACCCTTTTTTCAAAGAATGTAAGACATAAAACTATGCAGATGGAATAGTATAGAACAGAATACTTTTCAGTGTTCATCCATGGAAGGAAGATTCTTGATGGTTCAAGGTATTGTGGATATTTTTTATGCAGTTTCATGAAGTTCAGAATTTGCATTCCCATAGAACAGAATACTCCTTACAAACTGACAAAACAAAGTCAAATGTGAAACAAAAAACAAATCAGAATTTGCACTCCCATTCATTTACATCAATGAAAAAAAAAAGCACTGAAAAACAAACAGAGCCTTCATAACAAACAAAATAAAGCAAAAGCTCAAACAATAATTAATCAGAATGTATAATAAAATCATTCACACTTCCATTCTTTTACAAGTGCAGATGAAATTGCACTGCAAATAAACCAGGTAGTAAAAAGAATGGTTAGAACAAAGTGAAGGAGGGATTCCCTTTACATTGGTCATGATCAGACCACATTCACTTGACATTGGGTAAATCCCTCTCCCCTCTTGGGACTTGGGAGAAGTTAGACTGAACAAATGAGAGTTTTAAGGGCTGTTTTAGAATATGAATTGTTTTTCTTGTTGTTGGTTCCGAAAACAAATCAAAATTATATGGTTTGTAAACAGATTGTTTATCAAAATAAAAACACACAAAAAAACATGTTTTTGATTCTGTCTTTTTGCTTCCAAAATTGAAACAAAAAAAAAAATGTTCTTGAATTCCTCAATTCCATAACATTAATATTTTCATCTAGTTATTTAATACTATATTTCATAAATCATATGGTTCCTATCTACACTACAAAATTTGTTTTTGTTTTGATGGTTCCAAACAAGGTTCAAAGTATCAGCAAGGTTCCAACACACCTGTTTAAAGGTATTTCAGGAACCCATTATTTATTTATTAAATAATATAACTAAAAGAAAATAAAAAAGTCCATGTTTTAAAGCATCAATACATCATTGCCTATACATTTGGGTGTATCGATACTTTAACCCATTGTTCAACAAACATGTTTTTGTTTTTTTGCTGATGTGGCAATTTCAAAATCAAATGAAAATAAAAGCATTCATGTTGTAGAACATCCTATTAATTTATTAAACACTCGTTTGACAATTTAGTGGGATTTGGCTTCCATGATTTATGGCTTCAAGGAAATGCCCTCTTAACAATTTGATGTCTTTAAGGATCAGAAAAGCTACAACCTTATGAATGAAGATAAATCATAACTAGAGAAGTTGTGATTTTAGTTAGATGTAGCTACCAATTCATGAAAGAAACCAGCCGCTTACTTAGCTTGGCAACCCCTGTTCAGTCATCACCATTAAATCCAGATCAATTGAACATTACCCAGATCATTGACGCATTTTTAGGGCACATACCTTCTTCAAATTTTCTGTAAACCTCAATAGTTTTTCATACTGCAACATATCAGTATTATATTCAGTTATTCAAAAACTGCAGCTAAAGATGTTTTTTCTTGTAGTACACTATATATGACAAACAAATTCCTCACCCCCTACCAAGAAATCTTTTCTACAAATTACAGTCTCGTCCAGGGCAACCCCGCAACAGAAAATCCCTCCCCATTCCATCTCTTGCTAAAGAATCTACTAACATATTTGCACTTCTAGGGATCCAATTGAAGGAGAAATTAAGGGAGGACCCTAGTGAGACAGCCATCCTTACCAAAGTCTTAAATTCCCAAGGTATTTGTTCTTGACCTTTCATCCAGCAAATAAGCACTTGACCATCGAGAANAAGGGAGGGCCCTAGTGAGACAGCCATCCTTACCAAAGTCTTAAATTCCCAAGGTATTTGTTCTTGACCTTTCATCCAGCAAATAAGCACTTGACAATCTCCCTCCACTATGACATCCCTTAACCCCTATTGATGTAGCAATTTTAAATATTATATTAGAGCCATCAATTCTGCTCTCAAAGACTTCCCCTGTTCCACTAGGCCTGAAAAACTAAGCATAACATTTCCTTCATGTTTTCCATGATTATACATTGGAAACTCTCAAATAACATAATAATTTTAATTAACTAGGCAAGAGTATAAGGTGAATCAATTATCAGAACAAATTTTGATAAACTAACCAAGACAACTTCCAGAATACAAAGGTTGAATAAAACTTTTCCAGATAAAATGTACTAAAAGTTATAGAGAGTTACTGTCCTAACAATGAGTGGTTAAGGGGACAAGAAATCAGATAGTTCTATTGGAATAAGAAAGATTAGAGTACACATGTGTGGGAACATAGGTTTCAATATGAGGGTGGCCACTTTGTACTAAAAAAATGCCAAAGTTTAGGACCTTACCCAGTCCACCCTCACAAGTAATGGCCCTTATTCAGGACTATGCTCATTAGTGAGTAGTCACTTCAAAACTTATCTCATCCTTCTATAGAAATTAACTAATAAAATAAATACTATTTTCATTTTGTCCAAAACATGAACCACCTATCTATTTTGGCTTGGTAGGCAAGGGCATACAATAAATTGAAGAGAAAGATCTATAGTTCTGGGAGTGCATATTCTTATTATGCATGCATCTATATGTATGGCACAAGCGCACAAACAATGGCTTATTCTTATTATTTTTTGCATCTTACACAAAAGACCAAAACCAAATCATTCTGGGAGTGCATACTCAGTATTTCTAGATTACCTTAATGTGTGGAATTTCTTTCACAGTCCTGTCCGCAAAATATGCATATAATGCTCTCAGTTCTACCTATAAAGATACAAAATAGCATGTTATATGGTAGCTCGTTTGAAGCTTCAAAAATTCAAAAGAAGATAGACTATAAATGTATAACCTGATGAGAGATCAACACAATGGGTGCACTTTCACAGTCCTGTCCGCAAAATATGCATATAATGCTCTCAGTTCTACCTATAAAGATACAAAATAGCATGTTATATGGTAGCTCTTTTGAAGCTTCAAAAATTCAAAAGAAGATAGACTATAAATGTATAACCTGATGAGAGATCAACACAATGGGTGCACATTGGCATTCAAGCTCAACAATTACAAGTTCTAACCTACATTAATATTGTAAAAGGAATTATAGTGCATGCTAATTAAAAGAAATAAATGAAAGCCAAAAACCATGATTGCTTCAAATCATGTATGCTTTTACTCAATATTAAAATGTTAAACTGTTTGGCTTGATCCTAGCTAGGGCTTTTGGAGATATACAATCAATACAAAGAAACTCCAACCAGAACATACTTATCTAAATGTAAAACTTTGTGGAAATTGTTGTTCATTATGCAAGAAACATCCTATATATATACAATTCCTACGCCTGAATTTAGGAGGCTCAGTTGCAGTAGGAAATTACTAATTACAAGTTCCCAAAGAAATCTAGGGAACTACTATCCAAATACATCTAGGAAACTACCAATTACACATGCATGCATGAAGAATCCCAATACAGGAAGGTTACGTGGAGATTTCCCAATACATGAAAGTTTCCCAATACTCCCCCTCAAATTGGCGCATGCAGATTCCGAATGCCCAATTTGCTAAGAAAATATGCGAATTTATCTTTTCCAAGAGCCTTCGTCAAGATGTCAGCCAACTGCTCAGTGGTTCGAACATGGCAAGTAACAATGTTCCCACACCGTAGCTCATCGCGAACAAAATGACAATCAACCTCAATATGCTTTGCCCTCTCGTGGAACACTGGATTAGCGGCTATGTGCAATGCTGCATGATTGTCACAATACAATTGCGCAGGTTCATTATGCGCCACCCCAAAAGACAAAAGAAGTTTCTTCATCCACTTCAGCTCACAGCTTGTCGCAGCCATCGAACGATATTCGGCTTCTGCAGAGGAGCGCGACACGGTATGTTGTTTCTTCGTTTTCCAAGAAACCGGCGACTACCCCAGCAGAACAAAATAGCCAATCAACGACTGTCGCGTCAATGGGTAGCTTGCCCGATCATAGTCGCAATAAGCATATAAACGCAGATCGCTATCAGAACGGAATAATATACCTTGTCCCGGATATCCTTTCATATATCACACTATGCACAGAGCTGCCTCCCAATGTTCTTGTCGTGGACTTTGCATGAACTGAGCTAGATATGAATACAATAACACAGTTCAAGTCGTGTAATGGATAAGTAGATCAACCGTCCCACTAATCGTTGATATTGATTCGGATTTTCCATTAAAGAGCCCTTTGCCAGTGCAAGATGATGATTCTGTTCAATGGGCACGGATGTTGGTTTGGCTCCCAATAGTCCACATTCCGAGATGATGTCCAGGGCATACTTCCATTGAGACAAAAATATTCCCTCAGGGCCACGAGCTACTTCAATCCCTAGGAAATATTTGAGTGGACCCAGATATTTCATATGGAAGCATCGATTGAGATACTCTTTGAATTTTACAATGACAGCAGTATCATTTCCCCCAACAATCAGGTCATCAACATATATCAGCACGTGCAAACGAACATTGTGTTTGAAATAGGTGAACAAAGAGTAGTCAGGATACGATTGAACAAACCCAAACTGTATCAAGGCCGTTGTTAACTTCGAGAACCAACATCTGGGAGCTTGACGTAGTCCATAGAGAGATTTCTTCAGTTTGCACACTTTTGTTCGATCCTTAGATGTAAAACCTGGCGGCAACTGCATGTATACCTCTTCATTCAAATCCCCATGTAAAAATGCATTATGTACATCCATCTGATGCAACTCCCAGTTCCTAACGGCCGCCACGGCTAAGAAGGTTCGGACTGTCGTCAGTTTGGCCACAGGAGCAATAGTCTCATTGTAATCTAACCCCTCAACCTATCTATTCCCGAGAATAACTAGGCGCGGCTTATGCCGTTCAACCGTCCCATCTGAATTATATTTGATCTTATAAACCCATTTACTCCCTGTTGCATTTTTCCCGGGAGGTAGAGATTCCAATGTCCATGTACCATTATCCTCCAGAACCTGGATTTCCTTCCTCATAGCTTCTCTCCATTTCTTACTTTTTACTGCCTCAGAAAAGCTGGTAGGTTTGGCTCCTGCAGTGACTGCAGCTAAGAAAACTTGATGTCTAGCAGAGAAGTTAGTACATGTCACATAACTTTCTATGGGATAGGGAGTCGTACTTGAGAACTTTGATTCAGAGTTGGCTTGAGTGTGAATGGGGTCTTTCAAACATCGAGCAGTGTAGGTTACGTAGGGCTTTAACAAAACAGACGGCGTGCGATGTCAATATCCCCTGCCAAGTTGCTCTTCTGGTGCTGTTTGTGGTGCTAGATCCACACTAATTCCGTCCTCTCCGCCATTAACTTCCACTTCCTGCACACCCCTTCCATCGTCTTTCTCCTCTCTTCTATTAGTATTTTGAAGGCTTTTCCTATCATTCACACAAATATCGTCTTCGTCACTCCCCCTGTCTTTATTTCCTCTGTGGCTGTGAAAAGCACCATCATCAACCACGGCCGCAATTGCCAGGCAAGGGTTGTCTTCAAGAGTTACTTCTAAATCACCGGCATATGGAAATATATTTTCATGGAAGACTACATCGCGGGAGACAAAATATTTACCTCTCTCAACATCATATACGCGCCAACCTTTCTTTCCGTAGGGATAACCTACAAAAACACACTTCTTACTCCTCGCTCCAAATTTATCCTTATCTCGAGGACTCCAATGAGCATAGCAGAGACAGCCAAACACTCTCACTTGCTCGTATTGAGGAATCGTCCCGAACAGTACCTCATACGGAGTCTTCCCGCCAAGTACGGAAGAAGGTGTCCTATTTATTAAGTATCCGGCGGTTAGGACACACTCCCCCCAAAAACGAATAGGCAAACCTGCTTGAAACCTCAATGCTCTCGCAATGTTCAAAATATGCCTATGTTTTCTCTCCACTCAACCATTCTGTTGGGGTGTTCCAACACAGGAAGTTTGATGCAGAATGCCATGAGTCTCAAAGTATGATTTCAGGCTTTTAATATCACTTCGAACAGCTCTGACTTGCTTGTCAATTTGGCATTCTGCCATGGCATAAAAATTCTCAATAATATGTGCTACTTCACTCTTTTCAAGTAACAAGTAAACCCACACAGCACGAGAATAATCATCAACGATGGTTAGAAAGTAAACAGCACCACAAGAGGCAAGTACTTTATAAGCACCCCATGTATCACAATGAATTAGAAAAAAGCAATCATCAGCTTTATATTTACTTACAGGAAAAATTTCCCTAGTTTGTTTTGCTCTGTAACAAACATCACATGGCTTATCTCTTTCAAGTCTACTGTTTAATTTACCTACTTTAGGAAGAAAAGATAATGTCTATTTAGACGGATGTCCTAATTTGTGATGCCACAACTCCCATTCACTCATTCCACTTGTTCTATTCGCCCGAACCGGTGCTGCTCCTCTAAAATGATAGACCCCATCACACTGCTCACCCGCTCCAATCAGAGTCCTCGAGGTTTGGTCCTGTATCACACACAGCTTGTCAGTAAAAGTGACAGTACAATTTATCTCTTGCAATAATTTAGCTACAGAAATAAGGGTGCAGTTCATTCTTGGTACAAAAAGCACATGATGTAAATAAATATTTCCACCAAATGCAAGGTTCCTTCCTTCACTGCAGTAGTTTGCTTCCCATTGGGAAGTTCCACTGGACACGGTGTAATATTCCGAATATCAATCAAAAAATTAATTTCTCCAGTCATATGGTGCGACACCCCGAAATCAATTATCCAATCAGTAGAATTTTTTTTATCGGAAAGCCTTTCTAATCCACCAGATTTATGTGAATTCAGGATATTGAGAAGTGTTGTCCATTGATCTCCACTCAGCACCGGAAACCCGCTACGATCATGATCATTTGTGGTTCCAACCTTCTGTCCTCCAATCTCACTTCCCGCTGCTTGGGCAGCGTTTGCTCTTGCATTGTTTCCTCGTCCACGTCCGCTGGCACCCACGCCCGAACCACTTCGCCCGCAGCCTGCTCCTTGACCGGTTGAGCGTGGTCTATCTTCCCACCATTCTGGATATCCGATCACCTGAAAGCAGTCCTTTGCTTCATGTCCAGATTTTCCACAGTGTGTACAGCTCACGTTTTTATCCTTCGTACGTGCAGCAACTGCTTTTGCACCAGCACCTACATGTACCGCAAAACCCACGGCATCACTTCGTTCTTCTTTGCTTTTGGCTATACTTTGATGCCTTTCCTCTTGAATGATAATTGCATAGAAACAGTTCAAACTCGGCAACGGCTCCATGCTCAAAATATTCGAACGCACGGTGCCATAATTTGCGTCATCAAGGCCCATCAAGAACTGATGTACCCTCTCTTCTTCTCGCTTCTTTTCAAGTATGGTCGCAATTTTGCAGTTGCAACCGCTACAACGACACGCGGGTACTGGATCATAATCTGCCAATTCGTCCCACATGACCTTCAGCTTCCCATAGTAAGCCATCTGTTGGGACCCAAATACCTTCCCCGACCCCAACAAAGGGAGTGGAGCAGGCCACTACCCATCAATAGTACTCAAGAAGGCAGAAAGGGCAGGCGACAGAGCCTCAGAATTAGTTACACACAAAGAGGGTGATTCTGCCGACAGAAGATATTCCCTCCATGATATTTCCCAAAGTTAGTTATCCTACCAATCAGAGGATATTCCCTCTGATTACACCTGTAGGCCAGCTATGTAAGGCCATACTCTTACAATGAAAGGCATGAATGAATACCCCCTGTTTCTCTCTCACTTAATCCCTCTTTTCCTACCTTCCCTTCTCTTCTTCCTCTCCACTTTCTGTTTCAGGAGGTTAAGCCACCCTCCAAGGGGCTTCCGAGGTGAGTGGTATCTCACCAAGTTGGTATCAGAGCAAGGTTGCAGACCAACTATGCCGTAGACAAG